GGCACAACGACGTGTGGCGTTGAAGCTAAAGCAGAGGCTGCATATATTATTGACGAGCTCAACCGTAGGCGGCAGAGAGGCTGCATTTTACAGGTTGATTGATGGCCGCCACAGCAGGCAGGGGTGGAAGCGCATCGATAATTCGATCTTGGCGAGTATTTTCCCTGTCATGACTGCATCGATACTTTAGCAACCCATCGCCATTCTCAGAGCGACGTGCGATTGGTTTGCGATTACGGGAAATTGGCGGCTTGATAAACGTTCAGCTCGAAATTCCAACGCTGTTCAACATCGTCAACCTGATACACTGAAAAAACGTCCCCAAGATTCCGCCGTCCAATGTTTCGGGTCTTCTCCTTGCTTTTGCGACGTATCAATCCCCTTGGCGTATCCCAATAGACTGGGTGGGATTGTGCAGCACGCACGCAGGCCGCTGTACAATAATACATGGGCGGGCTTACATTGCGACCCCGGTCCTGGAGCGTAATCAACTTGAGGCTACGGCACAGGAACACAGTATGACGTCGATATTACCGGCTCACCAATCTATGTAATATCTAGATATTGCTCACGTACCATACAACCGAACTGCCACCCTGGAGCTAGTCGTCGGACAGCTCGAGAATAAGAGATAAGAATCTAGTTAGCGTCGATGAACATGTTCGTCTCAGATGATAGCGCTTCTACTCAGCCCTTCTAACTCAGGCACCGTGGGTTACATTGCCTAGTTGACAAGCTGCCGTTGACCGTTGCGAGGAAAGGTAGTAGTTGTGAGTATAACTACGCCGACGGGGGGCGTGGATGGTAAGCAACAAGCGCTTCATGGGTTACTCATGCCCGCCTTTGCAGTCTATTGCAGCTCTGGAACGTTTGGTCGCCGGAAGGAAGCTCTTGGCATTTCCCTCTATTGATAACGAAGACCACATAAGCTTGTCGATTCGATAAGCCAAGGGCGAATCTCACCTTACCATCGTATGTAAACCGTGGCACCGTTGATTCTTGTCTTGGCAGGTGTTATATCGATGCGTCATCTAAGCACTGTTCAACCGTAATGGTAAACGCCGAATATATATGTCAGAATGCATATCAATGTGCCTATCAATGGGACGCTGTACCTTAGATCAGATCCTTTAGTGGGCGTAGAGTGATGTCGGATTGACTCCAACTCGTCAGGATCTCTCCGGCACGTTCGGTTACTGTCGCAAGAGCTTGTGGGGATAAAGTCGATGCAAAGTTAACTTCCTAAGGGGGCTAAATTCCGGCAATCATAGATAGCCGGAGTCAGCATTGGTGCTCTGGTGAGGTTTCATTATAAATAGTAGGCTACTATCTACCTGTCACATCCAGTATCGATTGGCATTGAAATCGCGGTTCGTTGCTGGCATGATTTGTAGACTGCCATTGATCGCGAACAAGCAGGCCATCATCCCGAGATCGGGATACTATGCATGACGCCATAAATCATCATCACCGACACATGATCCTACGCTTGATAAGGGAGCGCCTACATATCTGCAGTAATCGGGCTTCTGGCCACGGCGGTTGCGACGCAAGCCCGAGGGTGCGAACAAGCGGACAGCCAGCGTGGCGTCCTGCAAGGTCCTGTGGGCAGCTATCACTGCATCAGTCACCAAACTTCGTGGGCTCGACTACATCTTACACCCACAATTTCCATTATAAGAACTTCAGCCGCCAGATTGGTGTGAGGGGGGAAACTGCGCAGGCGTTTATCATACACGCCGTTGCTATTGCCAAGGCGGCAATTTTCCTACTTAGCCTAACAAGAGCGGCTTTGCGAGGCCCTGGCTCGCACGCCATTTCCATATACTCTTGCTTCACTCCCGGTGGCTCGGACGGGAACAGGTGCGAAAGGCATTAACCGTGAAAAGTAATCGCGGAGGCATTAATTCGACAACCCCGTTTGTTTTGGTTTGAAAGACACCTATCTAATATATCGGGGTACTAGCTATTACGGCGAAACAGGACTTCATGAATGAGCAGCAAGCTAGCTAGGACTTTGGTTATGATAAAGTGCAGCTATACCTGCTACCATAATCATGGCCTATAGATGAGACGTCTCATCGGCCCTATACCATATCTTGTTCATTTGCCTGATCAAGATATCCCTGAATGCCATACCTACTGCAAGACGACATGGAGAAGCAGCATGCAAGATGAACATTCCCTTTGGGGACTGTTATAGACCGCAGACTGGCCTTTTCTCTTATTCGAAACAGTAATCCACCATGCCGATATCTCGCAAATATTTCCCCGGGGGTGGCCATGATGCAAGGGAAATGAAAACGAGAATATCTGATCTTCGCTATCTTCGCAAGCTCTCCGTCTAGTGTATTCATACTTGATGAATACCTAATATAGGCAACATATCTTCTCACAACAGGGGAAGTCCCCGTTTATCAAGATATATAGTAGCTAGAAGAGCAGCTAATGGATGTTACAGGTATAGGTATCGTTCATGGCTCATATATTGCCAGGTAACCTTGGTATCTAGCTTGAAGGATGATACTTCTTGACACTTCATATTATGTTACACCTAGCTCCAGCCTCGTCACTGACAGGGTTCGGCTCAGCCAAAAGCCCTTCTTCTCGCTGAGGTTGACCTGACAGTTGCCCGTAGCACAGCTCTGTTCTGCGAGAGGCACATATGGCTAGGCATCTCCATTCCTAGCGCTTCTGCGGCAGCCACGTCGCCAATATCTCGCGCAACGAGCGCCGCTGTCAAGTTCAGCCCCTAAGAGGCCTGAGCATCCATCGCAATTATCCTATCTCTAACACATGAAGCTTTCAAGTTAGTTGTATCAATAGGTGAAGGTTACGGCGGATTCTAAGTGTAGCACCAAAGAACTCCGCATTCGACATTGACGGTCGCTGACATGTGTATATTCGTACCTTGCTTCAACTATTACCTTTAGTTGTGCGATGGGCCATGAAGGACATAACGTAATGATAGCTATCGAGTGTCCTATAATCCATATTGGCTTGTATTTGAGCATCTCCTGTATCTATCACATGTTAAGGAGAACCAATCCCAGTAGTGAGTTACGTTTGATGGTGTTGGCTGTGGTCACTCTTCCGGCCTTTTATATTGAAAGGCACTCAGTGTCGAAGAGAAATAAACAGTAGAGATTTTACGACGATGAAAATCACCAGTACCAAGTCATCTTTCTCCTAGTTACACTACTCAGTCGAACCTTTAGATCAAGCATCTATTCTTGGATCTGGGATAAAGCCAATGACTCTGAGCAATGTAAGTCTCGTGTGTATGTGTATATGAATAATTGCCGTAGAAAGGGATTTCCCTCGGCGCTCTTATAGAGCCGGATATCCCTGGACAGGGGAGGACCACTTCATACATCAACACCCGCTTCGAACATTGAGGCTGATCTACCTGGCACTTCCTAGAGTTATACCACCATCGACGATGAGTGGAGAACCGGTCATGAAGGTGGACTTGGGACCGCAAAGGAAGAGGATGGCATCAGATATCTCCTCAGGACACGCAAGACGCCCCAATGGGACACTCGCCGTAATCGCTCCTCCGATTCCAGGCACGGCTTCTATAATGCCATCCACCATACCGGTGTCTACCCAACCCGGGCAAACACAATTCACCCTGATGTTGTGTTTGAGGTTATCGAGTGCTAGGAACCGGGTCAGTTCGTTAGGGAATCAACAGAAACGAGTTTATACCACATGTAATGTAATAACATAAGAAAATGATCATCCGTACCTGCACTTTTCATCAACCCGAGTACAGCATGCTTGGATGTTGTATAAGGCAAAAAGTTAGGACCCGCATGCAAAGACAACGAAGAGCCCGTGATCACAATGACGCCACGAGTAACGCCCTTTCCAGGAGCTGATAGGTCAGCTGGTTTGGCTTCTTGGGACCTCATCACCTTCGAGGCAGCCCGAGTCACTAGCATCGTCCCTGTTGTGTTGATATTGAGAGTTCTTGTGAAGTGTGCGATGTCTACGTCAGCAGTCTCGTTGAAGGGTGGTGTACCGATCTGGCAAGATGAAAATGTTAGAGTATGAAGTCTGCAATCCGTCCTGTCTCTGAGGAAGTCTTAAGCAACTCACCCCAGCGCAGGTAACGCAGTAGTCTATACGCCCAAAAGAACGGACTGCATGGTTCACCGCGTCATCAACCGATTTCTCAAGCGTGACGTCAACCTGTACGGCTTCAGCACGAAAGTTGCTGTTCGCAGCCACAGCTTTAGCTTCCGCTACAGCCTTCTGTGCAGAGTCGAGGTTGAGGTCAGCTACTATGAGCCCTGGGACACCGGCTTTTGCAAACGCAAGGCAAGTGGCCTTTCCAATCCCACCACCTGTAGGGAGTCAGCCAGCTCGTACGTATACTGCCAACGAAGAGCAAGCATCTGAAGTAGGATACGTACCTCCTCCAAAAACCAGGGCATTTCCAGTGAACTCCATGTTGGTAAACTTTATTGTATTGAAGTCCCGGAGTAGAAAGCAGACGCATGAAAATCGATGCCTTCTGCGTCGTGGGGGCGATCCTTCGAGGTTTTAAGTAGCTTTCCCATGGCTTAGCAATCCTGTTCGCATGAAAAAGAGGGGATTACAAGGAACTGTTCGAAGGATTCACAACAGCTGATGCATCTAGTAGTATGCATGGCCTATTACTCATTGGGTTCTAATTACGTGCGATTACTGCAGGGTCGAGGTCCCTTTGCACCAACCAACATCTCGAAGTACATTTAACAATCAAGTATGCCCACATTTCGCTGGGCTGCTATATATAGACTTCTGTAAATACTATACTTAGCAGGAAGACATGGCTTTGTATGGTTTATATGAAATCTTCCAACCCATGTTTCTGCTCACGATGGGCGTCTTTTCCTTCATTAGTGATTCATCAGCCCCCATCTTGTCTAGGTATATAATGAACTTTAACATCTGACATCTGGCGCGGCAAAAATGAGACAAGGAAGTAAAAAGAAGCAACTTAGCACACAGGCCCGAACCAGGGATCGAACCTGGGACCTCTCGCATATCAATACTCAGGAAGTTTGGAACCCTAAGCGAGAATCATACCTCTAGACCATCCGGGCAATCAGTGAAGCGCTTGTTTACTTCGTGATCACGTGCCGTTTAACGGGGGCTATAAGTATAGTGAAGCCCCTGGCTCGCAAGGTGGATACACTCTTAGACACTATCTAGTTATGGAGACAGTCCATCTGCGGCGGTGTGTTGGATCTCTTATGAGCTTTGATTTGATTCAGCTGAGCGTTGGCTACTGTCCAATGCTTCTATGTAGTTATGCTGCAAAAGTATAAAGCAGTGTGTCTGCCTATCCTTGGTTTTATAGAAACATGATACCTCAAGCTGTGATCCTATTGATGCACTCGAGTGGTAAAATCGCGCGAGATTGCATGACTGATTTCCGCCCCGCAACACCGTTTGACCATGGTGCTAAATGAGTCTTGTGGTGTTCTAAACCATAATGCAGAATGCGACGGTAGTACTCTTGATAGGTTATATAGCCTTTTATATTTAGCAACCTCATTCTTGGCAAAGCGCCCTTGGCGCTGAATGTGACAGAGCATGTTGTTCAAGGCTTCTTTTCGTCCCTCGGACCGGTGGTGCCATCCTCTTCTGTCTCGTCATCCGACTGGAACAGAGTCTCTTGGGCTGTATTGCATAGTAGGAAGAAGTTAGCAAGCGATAATATACAAAATAAGCACAAAAAGCAAGTAGGCACTGCGGGGGAAAACAAGAAACTTACCGCTCCAGAGCTCCGAGTAGAGCCCGCCCCGGTCGATCAGCTCCTGGTGGGTGCCCTGCTCGGCGACGCTGCCCTCGCGGAGGACGATGATAAGGTCGGAGTCGTAGATGGTGCGGAGGCGGTGGGCGATGAAGACGCTGGTGCGGGCCTTCTCGCGCAGAATGCTATTAATGTTGAGCATGAGGGCCTGCTCGGTGTGGGTGTCGAGGGCGCTGGTGGCCTCGTCGAAGAAGAGCAGGGGCGGATCCTTGAGGAGCAGGCGCGAGACGGCGAGCCGCTGCTTCTCGCCGCCGCTGATCATCATGCCGCGCTCGCCGACCTTGGTGTCGTACCCGGCCGGCCAGCTGGCGATGATGTCGTGGATGCGGGCGCGCCGCGCCGCCGCCGTCAGCGCCGCGTCGTCCGCCCCCAGGTTGCCGTACCGGATGTTGTGCCGCACCGTGTCGTTGAACAGCGGCGTGTCCTGCGGCACCACGCCGATCGACCGCCGCAGCGACTCCACCGTCACGTCGCGCACGTCCTGCCCGTCGATCAGGATCCGCCCCGCCTCCACGTCGTAGTACCGGAACAGCAGCCGCAGCAGCGTCGACTTGCCGCACCCGCTCGGCCCCACGATGGCCACCTTCTTGCCGGCCGGGATCGTGAGGCTCAGGCCGCGCAGGATGGGCCGCTCGGGGTTGTAGCCGAACGACACGTTCTCGAACTTGATCTGGCCGCCCTGTGCCAGGTCCAGTGGTTTGGCGTTGGGGGATTCCTTGACGGAGACGTTGACTTTCTGGAGGTTGAAGAGCGTTTCCATGTCTAGCAGGGATTGCCTCAGCTCTCGGTAGACGGAGCCGAGGAAGTTCAGGGGCACCGACAGCTGGAAGACAAGCTGGTTTACCATGACTAGGTCACCGACGGTCAACGAACCACTCGCGACACCGTTAGCGGCTAGGTACATCATTGCCGTCAGTGCGCTGGAAAAGATGATGTTTTGACCGCTGTTTAGCAAGGCCAGGGATGTTGCTACCTTGATGGAGCTCTTCTCGTAGTCGTGCAGTGCCTTGTCGTATCGCGAGACCTCGAATTTCTCGTTGTTGAAGTACTTGACGGCCTCGTAGTTGATGAGAGAGTCGACTGCTACCGTCGACGCCCTGTTGTCCGCCGCGTTAGCTTGCCGCCGGAACTTGGTTCTCCACGCCGTGGTCCAGATGGTGAACGCCGTGTACGCAGTCATGGTGACCGCGGTGATGGCAGCGAACTTCGCGCCGTATTGCCACGTGAGGATACCGCACACCATGGTGATTTCCAGAGCTGTTGGCAATATGTGGAAGACCATGCTGGTGAGCAGGAAGCTGATGCCTTTGGTACCCCTGTCCATAGCCCTCGTGAGACCACCTGTCTGTTTGTTCAGATGGAAGTTCAAGTCTAGGCGGAGGAGATGGTCGAAGACGTTGCACGCCACTCTCCGTATCGCCTTCTGGGCCACCGAAGCGAACACGGCATTCCGCAGTTCTTGAAACACAGTCGCGCCTATCCTGGTTGCACCATAGGCCAGGATCATGCTCCCGCACACCATAGCAGCCGTGCCGCCGGTGGCACCCACGTCAATATTCATGGCATCTACGATGCTCTTGAAGTAGAAAGGCACCTGCACATTCAACACCTTCGCGCCTACCAGAAGCACGACGGCGATGGATACGCGCACCTTGGCATCCAGGCTGTCTTTGGGCCAAAGATACCGCGACATCTCCTTCATTATTGCCCAATCCGCCTTCCGCTGCTCTTGCGTAGACTTGTCCACCGTGGCGAGCGGATCTTTCTGGTTTTTACTAGGTTCCGGCGTCTTCTTCTGCGCGGGCGTTCCCGAATCTGGCTTCTTGGACGTGGAGGTGCCGAACCATGCGACCCTCCCCTTCGAAAATGTATGGTTCGTAGCAGCTAGATCGCCTGGCATGCCGGGCAGCGCCTTCTGGAGGGGTAGACATCGGGACGATGCGAAGACGCGGATCCCACCCCGGGCTGGACGGAAGGACTGGCTATTCAGGCCGAGGCATGATGGGTAGGCCACGGTGCCAGTGCCGGCGACCCGAGTGATGGTTTTCGATATCATGGTTGCGGTGGCGGCTGCGTAGATATCATCGTGGGCTCGAGGCTGCTAGATAGACAAGGGGTTCTAGTATATCGGAATTGGACCACGTGTCTGTCTGTCTGGTTGAGAGTCGCGGGCGGGATTTGAATGGACGAGGCCGGTCGCTGCTTACTGCTGCTTACTTGGTGTCGCAAGTCGGTACCGGAGCCAATGCCTCGGTCGGTGATGGAACCTGGGAGAGGCCAGACTGAGCGCAAATGTCTCTGTCTCGGACGGCGGCGTAAAAGCCGCTGGGTCTCGGGGCTAGTTTTCGGGGCTGGTTCTCGGGGAAATAACGAAATAGAGGGGCTGAAGGGTTAAAACGCGACGACGTCAGAGCAGCTCGAGATTTTGTCAGAGCTCCCCTGTTCGCCTAGGCTGCATTCTGCATTAGTGTCGCGCCCTGGGTCTCATAATAAGGTCTAATAATAATGATGCAACCTACCGAGTGGCTACCTTTTACCCCGCCAGATGCTACGCTTCGTTCCGTTCAGTATAATGAGTATACGCCTCTTATCTAGATTGATCTTCCCGCTGCGTAGATAGAGAAGATATACCAGAAGAGAGGTGCACTGGGATGATGTTACAGGCACGCGAACCTACAAGTTGAGCCCATTGACATATACTCCAAGCTACCTTAGGTAAGTAAACAACCCATACCGGCTTATATACCTAGTTAGTACCGATCCAAGGGGGCGGGTAGACGCGGGGCTCAGGGAATTGTCGGCATTCCGGGATTTCTTCTTTCTTGAGAACCTGGAGGGCAATCAGCTGGCTGATAGTCGGAAGAGCAGGGCAAACCTCTGGCTTGGAAGCAAATAACGCTGTGGGAGAGAATGCTGGACGTACCTACATGGCTACCCGATCCGCTCCTATTCATGGTGAAGACACTATATGCAATCGGTGGTACTGCGAGGGGTTCATTATGAAATAGGCAGACCAGAAGTTTGACCCGGGTATCGCAGTGCTAAACATACTCATATATACTCCCAACTCTTTGTACTAGTGGCCATTCCCAGATGCCCTAGTAGTTGGTCTCTGCTGTAGGACAGCCTGTGCATAATGAAGGCATTGAACATATCCCCTTGTTGGCTTATCTTCAGAAGGGTTGTATATGCCCCAGGTTCTGATGTCCTTCCATGTATGTACGTACGTACGAAGTGTTTGGGGTAATGGAAACTCAGTTCAGGGGGTTCTTCTCGGGTAGCTTCGCCCGAGGCCGGAGGTTGACAACATGGACCAAACAAACACATCAATTATGCTACCTAGGTACATCTGGTGCATGAGCCGCATGTCACGGTTTTGTCACTGAAGACGAACACGGCTTATATAACAACCCAGCTTGCACCACTTGGCATTGGAGAAACAGACCCTGACATGCCTGATGCGCAATAATGCCGAGCTGTGAAAGTACCTTGCCTCGGGTCCCGGAATTGACCGGAGCGATTGGCTGCCCTGCAGGTAAAGCTTAAGTCCAGCTGTGGTGGTGCTGCAGAATGTGACTATACCTGTAACTCATCCCGTGCTGCCACCATGTGATTGACTACATCCAAAGAAGCAATCCCGACAACGCCGACAACGACACGCCGACAAAGCCATGCATCTTGGTACATAGTAAGCAAAGGTAAGCAATTGCTAACCTTGTTGTCCACCCGTTCAGGGCGTATGAGGAATAACGCTACTTGTCTTGGTAACCAGCTAGTCAGTATAACCCCTCAGTCCTCAGCCACTGCACACAGTCGTGTAGATATTCTCATCTGTCTCAGTCTCAGTTCTCTACACTGCATCACGAGGCGCACATGTTATGTAATCATTAGTGATTCGTAGGTACCTAGGTAGAATGTGAGATGTCTATCGATGACCTTCTTCGTCAGCATCGGGAACTGATGTAATAGCACACTGCTTGCAACTGACAGGTACCTACCAGACATTGTCCAATGCTGGAGGGAACAGCTTGACTCGTCGGACAGCCAAGTGGGATGAGTGGATATCCAGCCCCTCGCCCCTTACTGAGTTCACGTTAGTAACCCCCATAGTAAACCGCGCGGTCTGATACTAGCTCCGGAGCGTCTGCAGATGCTTCATCGATACCATCATCAATGCCGTGGGATCTTCCTAGCACTGGCCATGACATCACTCCTCCTCTGTTCCGGTGTTAAGGCCCTTCTCACATACTCATGTAGTATGATGTTCTTTTTGCACAAAGAGAAGGC